GGGTGGGGTGGAGAGGGTGGGTGGGGTGGAGAGGGTGGGTGGGGTGGGTGGGTGGGTGGGTGGGTGGGTGGGTGGGTGGGTGGGTGGGTGGGTGGGTGGGTGGCGGCGGCGGCGGTGGTGGTGGCGGTGGTGGTGGCGGCGGATGATGGTGGCGGTGGTGCTGGTGGGTGGCGGATTCGAGCGGAACGGCAATAGTCCCTATCGTTTCACATATTCGGCGAGTAAGTTGATGCATAGAGACAGGTTCCGACAAAAGCAGGCTCAAGAAGGTCTTGGCAGCACTCTGCAAGTTGATGTGCCTGAGCGATGCAGGTTCTCTGAGCCCAACATCCGCGGGGCTTTCGAAACGTCTCTGTCACAAGGCCCGGCGCTTAGCATGGCAAGTGAAGCATTGAGTCTTGCTTCTTCTGCGTGCTTGCTGCACGCAGTCCAAACCGACAGGGTTTTACGGCCGCGACTCACGAAGTATGGCCAATCATCAGGACGCCGCACAATCGAGAAGACCCATTCAACTGGTCACAGGAAGAAGGCGATGCTGTTTTCATTTGTTTTTTGTGTTCACTGTCGCCGTGGTCACTGTTAGTAAGTATCACCAGACCGTTGCAAATTCGATCTATAGCGTTATTGCTGACGCTGCGGTCTCAACGTATGTTGACAAAGCTTCATGATGTCGTCCTACATGTCACAGTTATGCCGGCCACTCTCATCATCAACATAGCTGTCCTACCCACCTGATGGGATTGCCTCGCTTGCTTCACGCAGATGATGGTCAGTGCAAGCCCTGCAGTGTTGCTTTCCACCCCCAAGGAGTGACCCTGCTGAACACAGCGCAGCTGTACGGCACCTCGGAAAACTGCATAGGCAGATTCGGGATCAGAGCTTCAAGCATGTCATGTCCCCGTGGATTTGAAGGGCATCATGAATCAAATCAATGCGGCCGAGAGCACCGAAACGGTTAAGCTGTTTGGGATTGCGTTGCGGGCGAAAAGGGCTCAGCACGCATCTCGGCCGCGAGGCATCCCAGTGCCGAAAGGTCTACAAGTTTCACAACAGAAATCGACACAGCCTCGCAGTGGGATTCCTCGAGCAGTCCTTCGGCTCGCTTATTACTTCGCGCGACTCAGTTCTCGCCCTGAGCAGGGCAGCTTCGTGGCAGAGTGACGGGAGGCGAGAAGGCCTCTTGATCTGGAGTGGGAATACAAGTATTTCAAAGTGTTCCTTTTCAAAGTGTTCCTTTTCTAGTTAGGCAGCATTTGGCATTCAATGCAAGTTGGCTTCAGTGCTCGACGGTACCTTGGTTTGGAAACTTTGGCATCTTATATTATAGGTTCCGCTGCCTAGAAATGTTGATTCTCCTGACGGCCCGACTGGAGTAACTAGCCGGCAAGCCGGGGTAGCAAGGCTGGCTTCAAACTTCCTTCGTGATGCTTCAGAGCAATCAAAGACTTGTGAGCATGTCCCATCCGACTTGCGTGTTTTTTGGGACAGCAGCTCCAAAAATAGTCCAACTCCGAACAGCGAGGCCTTGGTAATCTCCAAGTTTGATGCGCTGGGCAAGAACACAGAGCAGCTGATCCCCAGCTTGTGGCGTGGCGACTGGAAGCCCGGGATTTGTAGAAGTGCACACTTCCCATTTTGCTCGGCTTTTGGGATTCTGTGCCAAGGGAGGAATCTGCCTCGAAGTGTGGTGTCGATGCACTGGACGGTTTTCTCATCCACCACCCGAAAGGCCAGGCATGCAAATTTAGGGGGCTGCTGGAATTGAAATTGTTTGAGCTTCGGGTTTGGCACGGGATGGCACAGGAAAAAGTACCGGAAACGGGATTCCATGTGCAAAGGTTGCCCCATGAGCAGCCAGGCAGTGCGACGGCAATGGCTGATCAGCTGGCTGCGGCTTATCAGAGAGGCCGGGTCCCGGGTCCTTTGTGACTGGGAGCTGTGGTTGACAGTTGACGGTGGCTCATAGCATCTAGGCATTTAATGTTGGCCGCCTGTACTGAAAGCATCAAGCGTTCACTCCTATGTGCATGATGTACATAGCTGTTGGGGGCTGCAGCCTCGCACGTTTGTTTTTTGCCGTTACTACTATTACTAGTAGTGTATAGTTAGTGTACTTATTTTGCTAGATCTTACCCTGTCTTACCAACTGCAACATGAGAGTGGCCCAATGCGAGCGGCATTGTTCGGACTTCCGCAATCTCTAAAAGCCCTTACCTAAAGGTGGTTTTTAAGACGACGCAGAGGGAGCCTGTGACCCCAAATCAGAGATTCCAACCAGGCATCGTCCGCAATGTTGGGGTCTCCAACTACGATGAGACAGCGCTGAGGGAAATGCACGCTCTGCTGTGCCTAGGCAGCTTACGGCGGCTGATGGTTAGCAATGATAACAAACAACGGCGAGGGCGAAAGTCCGGCAGCGTTGCAGGCTGGCGCAGTTTTGATGATACACGGGTTTAGAAGACTTTGATGGCCTGCGTCTCGACACATTAAAGCCTGAATTAGCCCGTCCGCATGAACCGTGCCTCAGCAGGGGGGGAGGTTATGTGTCCTTCGAGCATGCAGATTTTCTGGTTTCCATACACACACATTGAAGCGGGCGGCTACAGCCTTTCTCGTCCGCTCGCATCAGAAACCGCACTGACGCCGTACTGTGGGCGTTTGCGTTTTTTCCATGCCGGTGGCCCAAGGTCTAGGTATCTCGAGGTGTTGAGGTTGTGGCTTCCATTCTGACCACGCGAAAGCGCCATAGAAGCGTAGGCAGACACAAAGCTGGAGAGAGGGTACAGCCGAACCATACTCTAGTGCATGAACTTTGTGATGTCAATCAGGTGAGCTCCTATCCTTGATGACCAACATCAACTTGCATCACTGAGAGAAACTGCGCCAATGTTGAACTTCGAACTCGGGGGCTTCCGACAGAAATCCGAACACTTATGTAACTTTGCCCATCAACTTGAAAGGCATTGAAAGCCGATCCCGGGATCAGCTGCATGTTGCCCAGCTAGTCGGATATCCACGCCTGAAAACGAAGGACTGACCGTGGAGTGCCTTTGGCGTCTCGGACAGCAACGTTTCAACCTGTGTCTGACTGCTCTTCAGACTTCTAAATCGTGCAGGACTGCTAGTACGAATCAAGCGGCCGCGTTTACATTGACATGAGTCCTTTACACTTCGCATTAACTACTGCGGCTTATCAGATTGTCTCTGATGAATTCCGTGCATTCAGGTTTTCAATGAGGTCGAGTTCTCTTTGCTACGATGTCTGCCACAGACGAACGGGCTTCTGCGTGCTTGCAAGGAGATTTTCGCATGCAGCGGCATCGCAGTCGGCACTCTGTGAAGCGGGATACTTGTGGTGACGTGATGTGCTGTTGCTGCTGGTGTTCAGCAGCAGCAGCAGCACCAGCAGCACCAGCAGCGCTAGCGGTAGTAGCGGTAATAGTGGTAGTAGCGGTAGTAGTGGTCCTGGTAGTGATAGTGGTAGTTTTAGTGTTTGTGGTTGTAGTGGTAGTAGTACCGTTTGCACACATTCAGATCTCTTTGCCAGGGCATCCATGACAAAACCGCAACAACGTCAATGTACCAGAGTATTCATTTGAGCATCCATGCCCAAGACCAGAATGCCATTCATTTACCTCAGCCCAAATCACATAAAGGGCCAGTTTGGGCAATGGCAATGTAGGTTTGTCGAAAGAACCGTGCGTCTGTGCACATCTCAATACCCGAAACAGGTTGACTCAAGCTGCAACTGCGATGTGCGTGGTGTGACGTTGTTTTTTTCTCCCAACCGTTGAACACAATGAACACATCGCAAAAAACCTTGCCATTCCTTGCCCCGGCCGCGCAAAGTGTGGGCAAACGGTAGTCCTGGTAGTAGTGGTGATGTTCTTGCCGATATGGTTGGTGATGTTGAGGATTAGGTGGCAGTGTGGTGGCAATGCATGGTGTGGCGTTCATGCCGTGTTTCCAGGAGCTCGGTGTCACCATTCTCGCTTGGGCACCACTGGCCTCCGGAAGGTGCTTGCATTTGAAGGCTTTTGGAGCTGAGAAACACGGAGATGTAATCCGGACCTTGCAGCCGTTCGTGGAGCATGTCGAGTCCGAAGTAGTTCTAAAATCCTACAGAAAAGCATTGGCCCGAGATTGCACAAAGAACTCAAGTGAAGGCAGAAACTTCGCCGTGGCCCAGTGCATTCCCGGCAGATGTGGAATCGAGAAGCACCCCACCAAGCGAAGCTTTTTATCGTATGCAATACAGCACCATCTCTGCTCTTAGTGCAGCGGTCCGGGAGGCTGACGAGTAAGCCCAGCACCGAGCTCCTAACGGAGGCTCGCCTAATTTTGCCGGCGCTTAATGAACTTTGGGCTACATGAGGATGCTTGGTTCTGGCATGCAGCCTGCCCTGTTCGGAAAGGGTGCAGTGACCGCTTAGCCTCGAGTCGCGCAGTACTGTTGAAGATTGCTCATGTATCTCAGCGGTTTCAATTTATTTTGCTTCGATGAACTGTTCTGGGAATTTCTGGGACGGATGGACGGATGGGTTGTTTTGCATGTTGAAGGTTGAAAAGATTTTCGATGTGGCGGCCCTTCTGCCGAAAATACCCAGCACAGTGTTAATGCTGGGTCAGGTAACCAAAGAATTTTGAACTCTGCCGGGCTTTGGACCTGCGAAACTTTCAAAAGCAGGGCTCGATAGCTCACGCTAGCAAGTATTCCCGATGATGATCTTGCAAACCCTGCATCCCAGAAGCACAGACCAGATTCCGATGTGGACAGATTGCACTGAAGCCAGAGCATGAAGCTGTGTTCGCAGGCAGAGACTGTCGCAGCTTTGAGCGTCGTGCGCACCATTGCAACTTCGCGCCAGAAGACGCCTGCGCAGGTTTGGGCAGATGTCACGACTTGTGGCTGTTTGCTGTACCTGCCGAAGCTTCGGAGTGAAGCTTCAACTTCTTTGCACTTCCCTCTCGTCCGCCCCTCTCCCTCTCTCTCTCTCTCTCTGTGCCTGTTCCTTCTGTCTGGCTCGTTCTTCTTATTTTTGTTCTCTCTCTCTCTCTCCCCTGGACATGGGGTGTGATGCGTCGTTTGCATGTCTCTTGCTGCATCAGCACGGCAGCTCAACGCCTCCAGACTTTGCTAGCAGTCTGTCACAATCTGCACTCTGCAGTCCAAGCCTTATTGGAGTTTTCATGCGAGGTGGCTTTGAACTGGTGCCCTGGCTACAGCCGCGAGAGCGCGGCAAAATGCTTAAAGGAGGGCGACCACTGGCTGGTGGATAGGGACAAAGATGTCCGGTGGAGTTGGACGGGAATGTTAGGATAAATGCCAAATGGGAAAATTCTCAAGATTTGGAGATCTGTCTCTGGTTCATGCGTCAAGAATCTAAGAACCCGGCCGAGACATAACCCGAATCCGCATAGATTACTAGCAGAGACTGCAGGGGTCGCAATGTCTGCAGAGCCCTTGGCAAACCGAGGTGCATTTGTAAGGGCACTGTGCCGATCCCTGGAGCACGCACAGTCGAACAGGCGGCACTGCAAGATGTTTGGAGCACATGCACGAGCACCCAAGCCGTGCGCCTCAATGAAATCTAAGTCATTTCCGTTCAAAGCTGGCTCAGCCGCTCAGCCAGGCACGAGAGAATGCAGGCGCCTTGGGGTGGCGATTGACAGAGGAGGAGGCGTGGCCCTTGAGGACACGCAGTCCACACGCAGGGGACCCTCCATGCACTGTTTCTGTATGACACATCGCAGACTTCGATGTAAGACTCCTGTGCGGGTTGGCTAACCCGCAACGTTGACATGTCGACTCATGTCAACTCTGCATATCGCCGTACTGAAGCTTGCAGATGGTGTTTTGGGAGGTCGCGAGTTTGGATGCCGTGGCCGTCGACTCCATGGGCATGTACTACAGCCCTGAGGAAATGGAGCTTCAAACTTGCTACACTTTGTTCTTTTCCCAGATCACTTGTGCCTGACTCTGGGATTTCCCCTGACTCTGAAATACTTCTCTCGGCCTCCTCCTTCCCTTCAGGCGTCGAGATCCGGGCACCCGAAGACGTTCTTGTTTGCTATCTGCCCACCGCCGAACATCTGCACTTGCTCACCAAACAAGTTTACACATCGCCTCTCAGAACCCATCAGAACCCGCCTCAAGCACATGCTCGGGAAGGGTCACAGAGACCAGAAACAATGCAATGACCAGCTGGGAGAATGCAGGCCATCTACACTTTCTTCGGAGTATGGCCGCCGGCTTGCGTCCGACCGAGTCTTGATTCCAACTACTCCAGCAAACTGGGGAGCTACAGTATAGTTCTGAAGGCTGTTATAGAGAAGGTGCTGAGAATTGACCGCTGGGAGGGCCCTCTCAAGCTGAGTCTAGCTTGTGTAGCAGCGTTTTCAATGGCTGCTCCTACAGACTACCGTAGACTGTCCGATCTTGAGATCGCGGGCCCGGAGTTTCGGTAGAACTGACGAGAATTTAGTTTTCAGACACCTGTCCTCCATGTTGGAACCGCTGCTGGTAGTGGAGTGTGGTTTAAAAGTTTGGTCAGAAAGAGCGACGTGTGATAAGACAGGCTTCGTGCACGTGCTATCTCCACAACGAAATGAAAGGGGCTGCTATTGCTGTGCTGGTGGTAGTAGTACTTACCGGATAGTAAGACAGCTATCGAGCGTTGCTGCAGTAGCACCCTTTGCATTACTTGCAATCTTTTCAAGTGCAGCCGCAACGCAGGGCAGATCCCAGCCTGAAACTTGCCAAAAAAGGGGCGGCCTTGAACAACAGAGGCTAACTTCTGGCATGCTTCGCTGCTGCCTCGCTCTGGCACGCAGATGCTTCTTCAATGCATTTGCTGAGGGCTCTTTAGCATTTAATTTTAGCTTCAACGCTGCGACCTGAATACAAAGTGGCCTGAGCATGTCCACCGCCTTGTGTGGAGCTTCCTCACTTCAGCTGCGTTCCTTAATTGTCTCAAGCTTCTGTGCGTGGCAACTGCCAGCTGTACATGTTAACTGTTCGCACCAAGGCCTCCCGCTGCAAGACGGATAGCAGAATCGGATAGCACAGCGCACCATCTTCAGAGACGGCGTCTGCTGAAGTGAGCCGGGCTTGCTTGGAAATTCCCTTAAAGGAGATCGTGGGCAACACAACGGACCTCATTTCTTGCTCAGCCCTTGCAGTGAAGCTGGGAGATATTTCTGAGCTAGCAGCTAGTGACTGCAGCTAGTGGTGATTCGTTGGTCAGGTGTCGTCCGTCATGCCTGCTGCACATACCCTCTTTGATTTCGGTTCATCATCGACTAGAGCCACGAGAGTTTATGGTCACGATTTCATTGGTGCGAACGAGTGTTTTGAGCAAGGGCTTGGCCAGCGATGCTGTCGCAGCAGAGGTGCTGTGATGTGGGACCTGGTACCTGCTCTCTACACCATGCATGCGAAGAAAGCAGCGAGGATTGGCACGCTGTATCAGTTGTCTTGCAACAATACGGCACTTCGTCGAAGGAATCTCTGGCATTCTGATTGGGAGCTTGGAAACAAACATGCGATGCTGCGGCCACCAGCCGCCATTTCGCCCGCTCAGGTCACGAAGTTGGCTCGGGAGCGACGGCAAAAGGCCAAGGCCGGGGCGGCCCGGGGGCGATGAAATATCCGAGAATCACCGTAGCTGCCAGGAGAACGTGGAGCCAACTGCGGAATGGGGCAGGCCTTGTTCATTTTGTCGCACGCACGCACGCACACAGAGACACACACAGAGACACACACACACACACACCCGCACCCACGCACACAGACCCACCCAGACACACCCAGAGACACACACGGAGACAGACAGACAGACAGACAGACAGACAGACAGACGCACACACACACACACACACATACCTGGACTCCTTGCAACCGGTCTTGCACTATCCTCAGGGCGAAGACATCGCACAACATGCTCCTGTTTTTTGGGGCCGGGGCGGTTTAGTGCAGGGGTGCAAGGAAGGGTTTCGGATCAAGATCGAGGTCATAAATGCCGACCCTGCCCTCCCTTGAAGCCGGTGCCTTGCCTTACCGTGAGACATTGCTGTTGCTTGTGAGCATTTAACGTTCCCGACGGAGGCCTCCGCCCAAGCCGGAGCACCAAAGTAAGCAGAGCAACACGCACCTCAGCTCAACGATACGCTCGGCTTGTCAGCATTGGATGCTTGACCGGCGCATCAAGCGAATTCCGAATCGTAAGCCGTAGTTCCCAGGTCCATGAGGGCCGCTCTGGACCGGCGCTGCGTGAAAGCCTTGGCGCCGGAAGTTGCGAGGCGCCTCCAGGCATGGTCCGCTGGGATTTCTGTGGAGCCAGCAATCTTGATGTCTCTTCGGTGGAGATCTCTATGGAGTGTTGTTTGCGAACTCTCCATGTTCCTCGTTGGGCCGGGGCGACTCCGGGCACTGATGCTTCACAGCACGCCAGATGACGATCTGCAAGATTCGTATTGGCTCGTGTGACAATCGTGCCTGAACTACTGTAGTAGGCCGCTTCTGCAGTTTGTTCGTTGGCATTGGCGAGCGCAGGGGGACGGCTGTGACTTCAGGCCGCTCGAGAAGAGTGGGGCACCGTTCGCCAGCGCTTGCGGCTGGCGCGTCCGCCCCCAGCTGAGGCTCGGAAAGCACAGCGAGTTCCTCCGACAAATGAAAGCCCTCGAGCTCCCTGCACTGGAGGAGCCTGCCCCGGAGCCACCACAGCACAAAGAGGCGAAGGCCGCCTTCAAGCATCACCGGCGGACAAAATGTTGTCAAGTAGCGTGGCTTCCTGCATTGGGCATGGACAGGAAAGCTCGCAATCTGTAACCCATCAACACTCGCTGTGGCCATAGCACTTTCCAACCCGACAGTATGCCAACCCTAGACCGTTTCCAAACTTCCCTCACGAATTTCGGAATTCATCAATCATGGAGCTCATTGCAGGAGTTCCCAGTCTCCAGAAACTGAGTGGCACCCTGCATGACCCAGCGCAGAAGCGTCCTAGTATCGAGATGCTGAAGGGTCCTTCCCACAAGCGACAAGCGACCTGGAGAGGCTCTTGACCTAAGCACGGGAGACCCAAACAGGTGACCCCTCGTCGCTCGGAGCCAAAGCCGGAGAGGGAGCCCGCTCCAAAGGCACCCCACGAGGCAGCGATCTGAGAGGCTTGTGTCTTCTTGTGAGATGAAGCCGGAATGCGAGGAAGCGCAGACACAAGGTCGGGTTCGTCTCCAGCCGATGTGCAGTTTCCTACCACGGTCGCAGGCCATGCCAGGATGCCAAGGGCAAGATGAGGAGAAGGATCCAGACCGAGCTCGCCGAGTGGCTGCAGGAACATGGGAGCTGCTAGTAATTGGGGATTGGGCTTCAGCCACCCAGGGCATCCGCCTGGCGGTCATGGTTCAGATTGTACTTGGCAGCGGCATTGCTTTGGCTATTCCGCAAAAGGTCTTGGATCACGATCGCGACTCTCGCATTTGTGGTGTTAGTCCGTTGTTGAAGGCCTGGGAAGCCACCTGTTGACTTCATTCGGGGCTTCGGCTCCGCAATATTTTGCTTGATGCTTTTGTCGACGACTGCCGTCGCTTTTGACAGCATTGGTGGTTGGAGTTATAGAGAATCTGAGCCGTTTGATGCCGTTTGCAATCTCTTCCCAGGGAGCCGAGGAACTGTATCCCCGGCCAATGAGACCAAAACAGCAGGCAGAAACCCAAAAGAGTAAACAAGCATGATGCTTCCAGCCCAGCGTTATTATGGCTTCAATATCATGAAAATCACGATTCCCGAATTTTTATGCTCTTCCACCAAGGTGCGGTCGAGCTGTTCCAGTCTTTCCTTGAGCGCGGCCGCAATGCGGAGAACTGGCGCAACCTGCCCTGGAACTTTGTAGGCCCACGAAGGCTTTGTGACAGCCCAATTGTCCTACTCTCCAACAGTACTAGACTTACTAGAGCATTAACCTCGACAGGTATATTCAAGACACTCTGCCGGTGAGTCACAATAACATGCCTCCAGAACAGAGGTCGCGGTCGTAGCTGTACTAGTCGTCGTCGTTGCTGTCGCCTGGCACCTCGATTTGCTCGGCAGTGGTTGCATCAGGGATTTTGAGGGAACTTCGAGAAGATGCCACTTGCAGGTTTGAAATGCAACTGCTGAAGCCAAGAATGTTCCAGGGAAGCGATGTATAGGAACTATAGGAACTAACTCAGCACGACACATCTGGACGGGAAGAAGAAACACTGCCTTCCTCAAGCATGTCACGAGACGTCATCAAGTAGATCCTGCAGAATGACACACTTTAAAGACGATTAGACTGAATAGACTTGGCTTGGCCGGTTGGGGCAGGATTTGTGTTCGGGCTGTGGCGGTCCGACAGAATCTTGTGCTAGCATAGGGAGATGTTGTACTCGTTCCTGTCGCAGAGATGATCTCGTGAGGCAAAAATGACTTGCGCCTGATCAACCACATTGTGGTTCCAATGCTGCTGGGCCCTGCTGAGCATCCATGGGGTTTTCGCCGCATGGTGCGGATCGTGACGGCAAGACCGCCATCACATTTGCAGAAGCAGTGCTTCAATGAAAGACAAATTAACACACCATTGATGCCAACGACAAGGCTAGCATAGGCCACCGGCGACAACCCATTGGCACGAACACATCAACAGCGGACAGCTCAGATGTTTAGGACTTTGTTTTTCGGAGCAACCCCGCTGGCAACCTCGTTGCGTGCCCAAACCCCTGGCGCGACCCCGGTATCATGGTGGGACCTATCGATGTACCGCTCTTGGAACATGGGCTTCTACTGATGTTCAGCTTGTAATGCTGCTTCTTACTACGCGCATTGATTTAGCAAGGGCAGTGCGATTAGAATCGAAAGGTTGATTGATATCCGGGATTGAAGCCCTGCGTCGATCTATGTTGGACCTGTAGCAGCTGCCCAAGACTCAGTGGTTTTCACGACCAATATTGACAAATGCCAGCGGTGCAAACTATTTATCTTTATACTTTTGAAGTAGAGATGTGTATGCCTGCATCGAGCCCAACATGATTGACCGGGGATGGCCCGGGGTTCATGATTGGGTTCTGTTCGGGCTAGGTTGCCTTCACCCTCTCTCAAGTTGGGTTAGGAACACGAGGCCGACGCCGGTGCAGTTCCACTTTTTCTTACCGGTTGGTACTTGTCGTTGGCGTCTCGTTAGGTGAACTATATCGGACCTTGGTCTCGAAGCAGTTGAACTCACGACAATTCCCTGCGGTGCGACGTAGTCAGCTGGGCGGGTGGGCAAAAACTAACAAGCACATCATGCCGCTGGCAGCGCTTTCCCATGATGATCACAGTATAATCACCATGGGTCAGCCCCACCAACGTCGTGGCCATGGTTGATCATCATCACTCATGACCGGATGACGACTATGATCAGGTTTGTCTCGTAGCCAGCTGGCTCATCATTACAATGTCCTTTCCAACAGCATCGTCGTCGCTGCCGTCGTCAGTCGCCCCACCAACGCCACTGCCACAGCCATCATGACCATCATATAAACGGCAGTCATCACCGTTTAGGGCGACGGTCATTCTCTGTGGCTCTGAAGTTTCATCTTTTTGGTCTGTATAACCAGGACCATGCATATACCATGCATTCCAAATCAGGATATACATCATCGCATCTCCATCACCATTGGATCACCGCCGTCAAAAGCATCGTCGCGGAACCTATAGCACAACATTTTACACAAGCATACAACGTACTGATCACGGTCGCCGAGCCGAGAACATGTACAATTCGCCCAACCCTGGAGAAGAAGAGTTCCCCGCCCCACCCAGCAGGCAAAGGAGCTAGGCCCAGGCCACTCAGACGGGCTCAGGTTGTTTGGTGACGCCTCGATTGACTGGGCCCGACCGGTCCTAGCGCTTGACGAGCTGGAGGATTTGTGCGGGCCGTGCGGGTTCACAAAAGTTTTGGATTTGGGGTTCACCTCAGACTGGCCGACTGGTGCCGGGCCGAGGAGCTTGTCCGCAGCTTTCCGGAGAAGCGCATCGATGGCAACACCTATTCAACGCTTTCCGATTTGCTTTGTTCAGAGAGCCTGAAAGACGCCTCCTGATTGGCGAGAGGGTTGGATCAGCGAATGAATACGCAGATTTGCACTACAAGTACCGTAGGGGCCGGCGGTGCTTGCCAGCCCTACGCGAAAGCCAAATAGTCCTGCATGAACTACATCGGCAGACTTTCCTGCATTTAGGGTTGTGGAATGTCCACCATGCATCTGACATACCCTTCCACACAGCACTGCTCGAAACTGCTCCTTTCTTTGCGTATTATAGCGACGAGCCGAAACGCTGTTGGATGTTTCAGACTTTAGGTCCTAAGTTTTAGGGTTGCCAGGAAACCTGTGGGTTTCATGCAATGCTCCGCCAAAGGCTGGCGCTTCTTCCGCGGCATAAGGACACTTGTGACCGATTGAGCTGTCTTGCGACTTTCTGATCTTTGGGGCGAGTTTCAGCTATGGACTTGAAACATCTTGGAAGCCAGCTCTTGACTTTCGTGCTTTGATCGTGAATAACCCCTGGCTTCGGAGCTCGAGCTAATGCAGGTTCGCCAGGAGCACGCAGGATGCAGGGCAGTCGGTGTTCGGGATTCAAGCGCGCACGGAACAGACTTGTGTCGCCGGACCTGCATGTTGGCATATAATCATATAGTGTATGAGAGTCAAGAGACTAGTCAATAGGGTAGGATTCAAGATTCAGTGGCAAAGGTGGGCTGGGTGAAGATCGATCAGCATCGTCTCTTGCACTTCAGGCAGCAAGCGTACTTCCAGATCGGCACACGTTTGGCGTGTCTGGCGGCAATGACCCATCAAAGGAGGCCTGAAGCAGACAGAATGAGGGAGTTAATGTGGATGGCTGACACCGAAAGTTCCATTTACCGTTGTCCAAAGAAGTGATTCTAGAAGCCCGGCGTCTTCTCGAAGCAAGCTGTTCAGGGCACGGCCTTTCAAGAGTGACGAGCGTACAGCGTTGCGCGTGCAGCGACGCTAAGCTAAAAGTTTTCAGTCAGGTCCCCAGTAGCCTGTGGAATGGCTCTGTCGTCGCAAGCAGGGTCTTGGCATGCCAAGATCACGGCGATCTGTGTCCCTGCTTCTAAAGCCAGATGCAAGCCAAACTCAGCAACTTGCGCATGCCCACTTCTTCCCTGCACATGCAGCCTGTAGGGGTTGGGGTTGGTTGGATCGGCTGGTGTTGGTTGCTGCTGGTTAGTGTTGGTTGGTACGAACCACAGAAGACCAACCGCAGTGCTTGGCTGGGAAAAGTATAAATCTCTGTTCCATGAGCCAGGACGACATTGCACATTGTACCAGCCTCGCGCTTCGGAAGCTCGCGCAGTCATAAGTGAGTCGCAAGAACAAGACCTGAGATTGCGGGCCCCTGCATCCGTTTCAGAGATATCAAGCCGAATCACAGTAAGCAAGGTCAGGATGACGCTGCCGGCCCGAGTCGTGTGAATCGAAGCGCCAAACGTGCAGCTCGAGCTGCAAGCACGAACCCCAGAAAGGCCGGTCGCCCGCCAGCAATGCCCGGCACTCGCAGCCCACTTAGTGCAGAAGGGGCAGGCCGGAGAGAAGGACGCTGGGGATGGATTTGGCCGGCCTTTTACCGGGACACCCCTGGACCGAATCGCGTTTGCAGTTCCTGTAGCAGTTGTCTGCATCGTGGTTTGCCCGCCGCTTTGCAAGACCAGCTGATTTACATCTGCAGGTGGTGCCGGGTTGCGGTCCAGAGCCGGCACTGGTGATTCTGGCAAGCGATGTTCCGAACGGCGCAGCCCACAGAGTGACTCCACGCGCACAGGCCCCAGATTCCCAGAAGCGGCCCAGACGTTGCTTTCTTTGTCTGAGTGGTGCAACTAGCTGACAGCATGACTCAAGGAATTGAGTCTTTTGCTCGACCCATCATGTCTTTGCACCGGAACTGGCAAAGGAAGCAGTTCTGCATCGTACGGCCACCATGACACACGAGACAGGTGTCTAAATGTTTGTTTCATGCGCCCGTGGCAAGTATCTTGTTCAACTCGCGCGATACTGCATGCGGCAAAGTGCACTTTGGATTCTGTTGCGGTTCCGGAAACGGAACCCACCTTCGGACACCAATTGTCGCCCTTCACCTCAGGAGTTCCTTGAAGCCTTGCCTGGATTTCCGACGAGAAAGTCTAAAAGGCGAAGACATGAAGTTCAAGCAAGGGGGCGTAGAGCAGGTCTCGGCGGTGCTCGTGAACTGTCGACCTGGATGCACTGACGGAAGCACAACTATCAAGCCAAATCCTTGCACGGGTCTGTACTTGATCAAAAAAGTTAAATAAGCCTGTTCCAAACCGATCTCTGAAGCACTGCCGACTTGCATGGTCAGCTTGTGTTAGGCACCACCCGCAGCGCCTCGCCATCGAGAGCGGTGGCAACTCATCAGGAGGCACGGTTGGGAAGGCTTGCTCGCCTGGAGAGAGGCGATTTCTTGCGATCTATGACAACCGCGGTTTGCGCAATTTTTGTGTGAGGGGCTGGGCTGCCTGATGACGATACTTTAAGAGCAAAGCTTTGCGCGGCGTACTGTGTTTGACATCACACCTTGGGCGGCTCTATATAATATATAAGTAGAGGGTTGTTCAAGGCTTGGAACCTTTTGGCTGCAGACAGCATCAATACACGCACGGGCTTGGTGGAGTTTTGGGCAGGCTGCTGAATAAGCATGTCATGGCCCAAGGCTGCTAGGTGTTCGCTTCTGTGTCGGCCTGCGGGGTGAGCTACCAATAGTAACATTTGCATGTTCCCCTTTCCATGGCATGCTTGCATACCACTTTTTGGCCCGACGAGCTCTGCAGACCGTTCTGGGTGGCTCGGTAACTCGTGTTCACTCGGTATTGCTGGCTTCGTACCAGATCACTGCATGAAGTGAGCCGTCAAACGAAGGCCATCCGCGCACGGCGCGAAGCACTGGAGCAGGCACGCCAAGAGTCGCTGCAGCGCCTTGGCCGATGTTCGCTTCAAAGGGATTGCCAGAGAGCTCTTCGGAGCTGTCCTGTGGTGAAATCCCGCGGAGTGCTGATGATTCAACGGACCGGAGGCCCCGGGCACTGGCCAAGGGTTTATGGGACTGAAAGTCCAGCACTGTACTTCCCCAGCTCGCTGCCACCACTATATAGCACTGACTGTGCCAATTTCCACCACTAGAGTCATGCGTTTCATCGTCAGCGTCGCGGCCAGCCAGCCTTTTCACAGCTCCTTAAACAATACCCACATGTGTAGGCGACTGGGCTTACGCACCTTGCTGCTTCCTCTTTGACAGCCAGTGCCAGGATCATCTTTGCATGAGGCTCTGCACGTTGGCTTCAGGACTCGCACGATCACGGGCCTAGCGTGCAAAGAAAGCTTGCAGAGCTTCAGGACTGGCACACCCTTGACCGCATTGCACAAGTTTGCCCGGTGCCGAAGCAGAGACACAACCCCCTGCCGACGCACTCGATTAGCTTCGCGCCAGAGGATACTGCCCTTTAGATGTCGTGAGAATCTGAGGAAAGCCTTATCCAAGAAGGATGGAGGTGGCCAGAACCGGCAGGAGAGGGCGTGTTGCAGGATGTTGCAGATGGACAGCTTCCGTGTTAGCTGTGGTGTTCCTGGTGCAGCACAAGATCCGGCTAAGAGGTCTTTGGACTTCATGTTCAACTCCTGTGCTCCTGTTAGGACAAGCTCACGGGGGCTAACTTGGAGCAGCTGGCTGTTGTAGGTTTTTGAGTTTTTTTTGGGCGGGGGGGGGGGGGGNNGGGGGGGGGTACTCGCACTCCATCTTTCTACTATCTATAACCTAAACTGTCGACATCGACCACACTGGCTTCGCCGAGATCGGACTCACGAGCGAAAATCGCCTTTAGATCTCGACGTCACAACAGTTACGATTGCCGTCGGCATTTGGAAAGAACGAGTCGTTGAAGGGGTCGCACTTAGTCTACTTGTAGGGTTCAGGCATATTGCTTGCGGCGGTTCGGACCTGCGAAGGCTTTGTGTCTCCTCGTCGTTAGGAATATGTTTAGCAATTCTTCGGGATTCGCCGTACCCGAATTCGTCAGTGGCTTGTGGAGCGCTCCCATTCTGCAGACTGCTCTCGTTTCTCCTTGACTCGCAAACGCTTTTGGCCTCTTTGTGTTTGGCTTCGAGGTCGGGTGGAGAAACAAGGCCGCACAGCACAAAACGGCAAGGAAAAATGACAGATTCGAACAGAAGACAATGAAAGGAATAAACAAACAACAGATATCTGGCCATCAGCAAGCAAGGCAGAACAACAATAAAATGAACAAGGATGTGTGCATTGTCGTCAGGACGCTCCAGTGCAGCCAATAACACTAGTAGCATCGGCAATGCTGGCAATACTCACAGGAATTACAGTGATGATATCAAGAGCTGTGAGCAATGAGCTTCTATCAAGATCTGCACATGCGAAACCTCTTAGCCCTTGCAAAAGGAAAGCAAGCTAGGCCGAACCAAGCCATGTTTGAGTTTGTTGTAAACGTGCTTGCCGCAAGTTAGAACGCCGCTTGCGGGATCCATGCCAAGCCGAGCCAGCCCAATCCAAACCATACCAGGTCGTGACTTTTTGGAATGGGGGTCATTGATTTCCCCATGTAATCCGGGTGTTTCAGTGAACCCCTCGCAATGGTAGTTATTTCCCCTCGCGGCACCCAAGAGAGAGTTCCGTTCAATTCCTCAGTAGCCGGCAGAAGAGGGGTAGAGGGTGCAACTCAGCTTCGAGCGGCTGCAGCCCTCGCGACTGGCCGTTGCTGCTGCTTCTGTGAGTACTATCCACAAGGCGTTCGCAGAAAGATCTCCATCCCATGCTTGTTCAAACTCCGGCTTGTGGACATGCAATAGTCCCCAGCGAAACGCCCAAAGCCTGGAAACATCGTGGTAGAGTAGCAAGACGGTTTGTTCTTTGCAACACCCGAGAGGACGAAATAGCTTCCTTGGAAGCGCAAATCATGGGTGGCAGCTGCAGCCACTGGGCAGCGAAATGTTCAGCTCAAGTGACCGGCCGGTACTGTGCGCAGGTTGCATGAGGTCAGTTTCTGCTAAGGGCTGTTTTGCAGGTCAGTGTTGCGGTTTGCATGCGTGCAGGCACCATCAGAAAGCTCTGCATGAAAAGTCAGCTCGATTGCCATTGCCTCGTCGAGCGAGTCTAGCTGAGTTCGACTTACTGACCACCCAAGCTACCAACAAATCCACTCACCAACCGCCGCATCAGCGAGGCTCATACGCGGTCGCCGGGTTGAAGCGACGCCTGCAGACCTTGAAAGCACCTGGGCCTGAAAGAATCCTGCCCACACACCCTACAGTTTTTGGAGTTGTCGAGCTGCGCAGGTCAATTCAATAGCCGACACCTTCAGCCTGGCGCATCAACGAACAAGGCCGCAACAACAACAGCAACAACAACAACAAGAAGCACGACAACCACAACCACAGCCAAAAACCAGACAAACAAGCAAACAAGCAATCAACCACAAACAATACGATAAACAACAAACAAAAGCACACATCAATAATAATAGCAGTGCAGCAGCAACAACAACAACAACAACAGCAATATCAATATCAACAGCAAGCAACAATAGCAGCTACAACCACAACCACGACCACAACAACATCAATGTCAACATCAGCAACAACATCATCACCATCAACAACAACAGCATCAAAAACACCAGTACGACCACGTTCATGACCGCGACCACGACGACGACAACGACAACGACCACACCCACAACCACACCCACAACCCCCACGACGACGACAACGACGACAACAACCACAACCACCATGGCGACGACAGCGACGACGGCGACTGCGATAGTGTTGAACTGTTGGTGCAAGACGGCTTCTTGGGTTGGTTCTCGGCATGCAGGGGCTTGTTGGTGGTGGTGGTGGTGGTGGTGGTGATGGTGGTGGTGGTGGTGGTGTCGGTGTCGTGGTGTAGTTGTTTATCATTGTTCTCGTTTTTGTGGTTGTTCTCTTCATCTTCTTTTTCTTCTTGTTGTTGCTGCTGCTGCCGCTGCTGTTGTTGTTGTTGGTGGTGGTGGTGGTGGCGGTGTTGCCGCTGCGGCGGTGGCTGCGGCTGCGGCTGCGGCTGCGGCTGCGGCTGCTGCTGCTGCTGCTGCTGCGGCTGCTGGTGTTGTCGTCGTCGTTGTTGTTGGTAGTGGTGGTGTGGCTGTTGTTGTTGTTGTGGTTGTTGTTGTTGTTGTTGTTCTTGTTGCTTGCGGTGGTGGTGTTGTTGTTGTTGCCGTTGAACTGTTGTTGTTGTTGTTGCCGTCGTACATTGTTGATTTATCGCTTCTCTCATATATCGCTGTTGCTGTATTGTGATGTGATTGATATTGGTGATGAAGCATAAGACTTGATGATGATGTTGCTGATGCTGATGCTGACGTTGATGATGATGGGCGCAGCGTCCTTCAAAGGTTGCCGGACAGTCACGGCACTGTCCCACTACTTGCCTGAATGCTGCGCACCGGAAGAACGAATGTTAAGAAATTGCTCACGATGATAATGGTGATCATAATGGCATCACGCTTGTGGTGTTCATGTCATATTGCTGTGACCAAAAAAACCGACGCTGCACTCTTGTCGTTGGTGTTGAGGTGGGTCTGGTTGCTTTACGTTGATCTTGTTATGATGCCACTATTCTGTTTGCAATTGTTGGTCCCAAGCTTATAACGCTTAAATTTATGACTGAAGGCGGCTGCCCTCCGCGAGGAGCGTGCCGCCGCTGCACGAGCTGCCGCGGCCGTGGTTTGCGACGGTCCGAGCGGAGGTGCCCAGAGAAGAGACCACATCTGGAATAGTTGGCTGGTGTATCATATAAAAGTGTATAT